ATCGCGAGGACTACCCCTCTTCAAAATTTGGCTCTGTGTCTTCGTATGCGACCATGTGATATGCGAAATGACGGTGTCCAAAAGTTTGTTGTACTGTGTCATGTTATCACCATATTCTGTTTCTTGGTCGAACCATAGACACAGATCATCTATGGCGTTCTCCTTGCCAACAGCAGATGTTTCAAACAGATCCAACACCTGTTTCGCATTGATACACCCGTAACGGATATCCCCACTATTTCGGATATAAACCGCATAGTACGGATGGATGGGGCTGGCAGTTTTCTGCTGTTATCTGTGTTTGCGTTTGTTTGTTGAAGAACGAAGATGACACCGTTTTCCGTAGGGTTATTTTGGTTGTTGGTAACGGCATAAGCACCATCAGGGGTTGCCTCAAGTTTCGCTCTATTTCTTTCGAGGTACTTGAGGAGTTGTGCAAAGAAATAATCTAACGTAAAGTCGCTCATTACCACACCGTCAGAGAGGTCATCTAAATCAAGCACCTCTTCACGAAGCCGTTCCAACTGCTTATCCCGGAAATTGAGTTCCATCTGTGCCTGTTCATAAGCCCATTCATTCAACGGGTCGTCATCACCACTTGCGGTTGCATCAGCGAGTGCCATACGGGATTCAACGCGATTTCGTAAACGCGAGATAGACCTCCATATCCTCGGTGGGCCAATAGTTAATCATCTTGACCGTGACGTTATTGCTCCCGATCCTGTCTATACGTCCAAAACGTTGAATGATACGGACGGGATTCCAGTGTATATCGTAGTTTAGGACCGTATCGCAATCCTGAAGGTTTTGCCCTTCTGAGATACAGTCTGTAGCAATAATCAGGTCTATAGTGTCGCTTGTGTCATCAGCACGTCCTCTTGCGCGTGGTGCAAAATTCGTTAGAATATCGTTGAATTTATTTGGTCCACAAGTCGTTCGCGTCATATCTCCAGAAACCAGTGCCATGTTCAGATCTAATTCCGATGTGAGTTCAGACAAGTTATCATAGAGATATTCTGCCGTATCCTTGAAAGTCGTAAAGATGAGTAACTTGCGATTAGGGTTTCCGTCCTTATCTTCCGTAGAGTTTAGCCCCTTGTCTCGAATATGCTTTTTAATCTCTTTCAATTTTCCATCTCTTTCTGGCGTGATGGATTTCACTTTTTCCGACGCAGCGGTTAAGGTCTGTTTATCTTGGATGATGTCCTGTTTCCAGCGGGTGCAATCCAATTCCTTCAGATGATAAGGATTTTTTGCACGATTGATCAAAAATTCCTCATCGTCTTCATCGTCATCGGGGAGGACGTCTGCTGCGTCCGCTATATTGCTGTTTTTCTGAAAGCGTTCAATCTTCTCCAGCATGTCATCGTGTTTGTTGATGGTGCGTTCAAGTGTTTCAGAGAGAGAGATAAGCCGAGCTTTCCAGCCGTTTGAGGAAGTTGGTCTGCATCATGCCGATGAGAAATTTCTCACGGTCCTCTTGATTAAAACGGAGTTGCTTTTTCTCATCTGCCAACCGCTGTTTCGCTGTTTCATCTACAACATAACTGGAGGGTCTATAGATGGATAGCTCAAAATCACCTATCTGATCCGCCAACGCTTTATATGAAAGTTCACCTGACAGGTCGGTAGGTGGATGGCAATTGACTGGATCCAGTTGTGTGGGAAATTTACCAATTTTTTCTATTTCTTCGGCATAGTACTTTATGATATGCCTTCGGGAACGCGCAATAGAAACGCCGCCGAGCAGTTGGAAAAAGTCTACGCCTAAAGTATTAAATAATTCTGTTTTATCTCTTGTGCCATTTTGAGATGCATTTTCCTCCCACGCTTTGAAGGCTTTTTGCGCCTGTCGTATTAAAGTGCGGATATTGCTAACCCCCAAACTGTTTCTAAAGACATCCTCGCGTTTTTCTGTCATGAGATATATCTGATTGCGGAGGTCGGTGAGTGATGTATTTACCGGTGTCGCGGAAAGCATCAGCACTTTGGTTTTTGTGCCTTCCTTGATGACCTCCTCTAATAGGCGGGAGTAGCGACTGTGGCGGAAGTTGCCATCTTTGTCCTCACGGGGTTTGCTATCGTTTCGGAAGTTGTGGGATTCGTCAATAACAATCAGGTCAAAATTCTGCCAATTGAAATTTTCTAAATTGACACCGCCAGAATCACCGCTATATCTGGATAGGTCCGTGTGTGATAGTAAGGTGTATCCAAATTTATCATCGAGGAACTCATTAGATGCTTGTGAATTATAGACTGGATAGAGTGCCCAATTTTCGCGGAGTTTTTTCGGGCAGAGAACGAGGACGCGCTCGTTTCGTAATTCAAAGAACTTGATAACCGCGAGTGCTGTATATGTTTTTCCTAAACCGACGCTATCTGCTAAAATACAACCGTTGTGTCTTAACAACCGAGCAATAACACTTTTCGCCCCCTCTTTTTGGAATTCATATAACTTGTCCCAAATTTTTGTGTCGTATAGATGTATATCCTCAAGGGTCTGTTCGTTTGTTTTTCGGGTTTCAATTTCTTCACGGAAAAGTTCGTATAGTGTTTTGTAATAGATAAGTTCTGGTGGGTGATCTTGCCCTATCTGCTTCAGTTTTGCGAGTACTTTATTTTTAACATCTTCAACGAGTTTATCGTTATTCCAGAGTTCATCAAACCACGCTTTGAGGTCAATTCGGTCTCGGTCGCTATCCACCTCAAGATTAAGTTCAATGTTGCTGTTACTTGAACTGAGTCCGAGTCCGCGCACCGTAAAATTGGAGCTGCCCAAAATTGCTTTATCAACGCCGTTATTGGCGATATGGTACATTTTCCCGTGTATCAGGTTTGATTCGCGGGTCGTGCGGATTTCTACCTTCTCTTTTATCCATTGGGCACACGCTTTGGCAATCGGTTTCTGTCGAAGTTGCTGGTTGAGTTCTAAACCTGTGTCTGTTATGTCAAACGCTTTTTTATCTGTATTATTCGGATCCATACGTGTGACAAAATCAGGGTCACCAAAAAGAAAACGGAGTTCCTCTATTTTGTTGAGGGAGTGTTGCATCTTTTCATAAGCATAGATGGTGAAGTAGGCGGATACGATGGAGAGCGCGGAACCGTTCTTAATTTCCTGTTCTAAAAAATCGTGAACTGTTTCACGAAGAAGGTTATCTCGGATGCCGGATTTTAGGGATGCGTTTTTATTTGACATAGGTATCTTTATTTGTAGTGTAACTTGATTTCGATGAAAGCAGTAGTGTTGTGTCCATTCAAACAAGTTATTACAGTGCGTCTCATAAATAGTTTAAGACTATTGCCCAATAAGGATTTTTCATGCAAAAACCCCCTAAATCCCCCTTATCAGGGGGACTTGCGATATATCTCCTAAAAGAGGCTTTCTTTAGGTTAATACGGACTGGTATTTATGAGATAGGCTCTATCAGGCGGTTTACTCCGGACACTGTATGTAATCATCGCAATTGTATCATGCTGGTATAAAAAAGACAAGCGAAAAGGTGTGGACATATTTTGTCAAAAGGAGACCAATAACGACTATAAACACGCCGCTACGGACGCTGTTAAAAGGGATGTAAGCCCTCTCATCGGTGCCATAAAAAAGGACTTACGCGTTATCGTCATCAATCCGATCCATGAGATGAAATGGAATTCCTTCTGCTTTTGCCTTTCGGAATTTTCGAGTCTGAGCCGTGTTAATTCATTCACTTTGATTTTGAGTTGATCTTGTGCTTCAAGAACAGCGTATTCTTCATCACGTGGTAATATAAATTCTTGCTTCGCTGCTAACCCTCTCATTTGGCTGTGTGCCTTAAGAAAGGTGTGGCATTCCGCATCGGTTCTCGGTAGCTGCAGCTCCAATTTGCGTATAAAATCTGCAACGATCTTAACTTGTGGCGTATTCCCGAACTCTTCAATGAGTTGGGCGCGGTAGCGTTTAGCCCATGCTTCGGGGTCCTCTTTTCTAAGCTTATCCAATTCAGGTCCCCCGATCGGTTCTGGCTTTCTGGCATCTTCAAGCGCGCGTCGATTGACTTCATTCGGGAAGAGGAAATATTGTGCTTCAAAATACGCGATGAAAGTCTCACGTGTTACCGTTTTTACGCCTAACGGACTTAGGAGATGGAAATCTGCCCTAATGTGAACCTGCGGTATGTCCCCGAACTGTTTGATGAGTTGGGCGCGTTCATATTCGGCGTGTAAGATGGGATCCGTTGTCTTGTGCCAGTCTACAGGAATATCTATTTTTCCTCTGATGAGTAGGGAGCGGGCGTATGCAGCGCGTAAGACCGGGTCTTTTTCCGTGTCCCAGTTGAGAGGAACACGCCTTTCCCCAGAGTTGAGTTGTTTATAGATGGATTTAACGTGTAATAAGATGGGTTCCGTTTCTTCGATGCTGTCGGCAGGTAAGCTGGGTGTTACTATTGAATTGAAGGGTTCCGTCGTTTCTGTTTCCTCGTCTTCCATGTCTTCACACCCAAAGAAGAGACACAGACCGAGGATGCATGCGAGATAAAACCTCAAAATTCTGAATAAGGGTAAGGTGAATGGATTTTTCATTTTCACTCCTGAAAGTGATTCGTACGCCTTCTGCTCTTTCGTTTCGCAGGGTTTCGAGTGTCCGTAGTGTTGTGTCGCTCGGCAGAGATAGTATTGTGCTTCAAGGAAAGTGATGTATTCCTCCGCATCTCTTATAGGGATTCCTTAAAGAGATTATGAATTTTAAAATTCATCAAGAGATATACATCATGATAATGTCTTCTGATCATTTTCGCGAATCTCTTAAATTATAATATCAAGATGTGGCTTTTTTGTGAAAAAAAAAATGACAAATTTGTGGTAAGGTGTATAGATTGCTGCTATTTTCGTTTACTCTTCACAACTTCGTAGATTAAGGCTCAAAGTTTTTCCTACATACATCTTCTCTGATTTGTGATATACTATTGCAGAAGTCGAAAGCGTTCTGCTGCTTGTAGTGCTATTTGGAGGAGATTTGCATGAGTACAGAAAGAAAATGGGATGATTCAATTGTCCGCTATCCAGATCCGGCGATTGAGGTGCTGGACCCGCGTTTTGGAAAATATAAGATAGGCAATTCTGTTGTCGAACGGTTATGGTCAGGATCGAGATGGGCAGAAGGACCCGTCTGGTTCGGCGATGGCGGGTATCTGCTCTGGAGCGATATTCCGAACAATCGGATTCTGAAATGGGAGGAATCCACCGGCGAAGTGAGCGTCTACCGTAAACCGTCCAATTATAGCAATGGACACGCCCGCGATCGACAGGGAAGACTCATCAGTTGTGAACACGGTACGCGGCGCGTCACTCGAACCGAATATGACGGAACGGTTACTGTGCTGATGGATAACTTTGACGGAAAGCCGCTCAACGCACCTAACGATGTGGCAGTCCATCCCGATGGGCATATCTGGTTCACTGATCCCGGATACGGTATTATGCTCAACTATGAAGGGCATATAGCCGAATTTGAGTTGCCGACCTGCGTTTATCGTCTCGACCCTGATACCGGCGCGGCAACTGTCGTGATAGATGAACTCGAGAAACCGAACGGTATCTGCTTTTCGCCTGATTACGAGAAACTTTATGTCGTTGATACTGGGGTTACGCATAAAGAGGGAACCCCACGGCATCTCTTCGTCTATGACGTAATAGATGGCGAGAGGTTAGGCAAGCAAGAGGTGTTCTGCGATATGGCTCCCGGTATTGCTGACGGCATTCGGTGCGATGTTGATGGAAACTTGTGGGCGAGCGCAGGTTGGATTGGCGACGGATACGATGGGGTGCATGTCTTCGCACCAGACGGAACACGTATCGGGCAAATTCACCTCCCAGAAATTTGTGCAAACCTCTGCTTCGGTGGTGTAAAAAGAAACAGACTGTTTATGGCAGGCAGTCAATCTCTTTATTCAGTTTATGTGGAAGCGCAAGGGGTGCCGATATCTTAGTACACCCGCGGAACGGTAAAGCGCATGGATACCTTAGAACATATTAACTGTCCAATTTGTGAGCGAGATGAAACGGAAGAACTTTTCAGTAAGGACACCTTATCGGTGGTCGTCTGCAAGCGATGTCAGTTGCGCTATGTTAATCCGAGAATCAACCGTCAGACGCTTGAAGAGGGGTATGCTGAGACTTACTATCCATCGGATAAAGTAGAACGCATCCATACGGACAGCATGGAATGGTTGCAGATGGCGGAGCGTCTATCTGAGTTGGAGAAACAGCGTCAGCGGAAGGGACACCTCTTAGATGTTGGATGTGGTATCGGGACCTTCCTCCACCTCGCTCGCGAACAGGGTTGGGAATCGCACGGCGTTGATCCATCCAAGAGTGGCAGTGCTTTTGCACAGGAGATACATAAATTGGATGTGAAGTGCGGAGATGTCTTTGAAGCGGGTTTTCCTTCTGACCACTTCGATGCGATTACACTCTATCATGTGTTAGAGCATATCTCGGAATTGAATCCCTTCCTCAGCGAGTTACGCCGAGTTCTGAAGCCTCAGATCGGGACCCTTGTCATTGAAGTACCGAACGGTGAGAGTTTGCAGAGCCGTCTCCAGAAAGCGGATTGGCCCTATGTCCACCCGCATGACCATCTCTACTATTTCTCTGCGCGTTCCTTACCCAAATTACTTCGGAAGCACGGTTTTCGTGACATTACGTTGGGGAAACCGAAGCGCGTTAGCTCGACAGTGGGACGGGTTTCGCATTCGTCAAGCCGCGACGGCTGACCTTAGTTCGGTTCCATTTAGGCACAGTGATCCGAGTGTATGCGAGTTAGGAGATGCGTTTCACGATTGTGGTGCCTGATAGGAGAATGTTTGAATCACCTCGTTCATGAGCAACCGCTGGGCAATCGTCTTAAGGACTTCTGCATTCAAGGCACCCGTGAACCAATATTTATGTCCCGTGCGAACGGTCGTTACACCCGCGATGCCTAAGTCTTTGATGCCTTTGACGGTGCTATCACCGACTGCATCCGTAACACCGGGCTTGAATTGCACTTCAAGCGTCCAATCTGTCTCGGTATCATTTTCGGTGCCAAAGTGTAGGCTTGTGTAATCGGATCCGCGAGGAGTTCAGTTCCGATGCAGTCAATAGTTTCTGCGTCAAGGGATCCTTCGATCCAGTAGACCGTGGCTGTGCGCACAGAATCAATGCCGTTAATACCGAGGTCGGTTATATCCTCAAGAATGCCTTGTCCAACGGTATCGGGGACTTCAGGTTTATAGTAAACTTCAACTTTCCAGTTTTTTCATAAGTGTTAATTTGGCAGTTGCTGTTCCTGTAGGAACGAAAAAGCAATCTTTCATAGTATGCTTGTAAGCGGTGGAATCCGCATTATTTTTTATTGGAAAACGAAAAATGTCAAAAAAACAGATAAATGTCTTGGTTTTCGGCGCACATCCCGATGATTGTGATATTAAAGCGGGAGGTGTCGCTGCCTTGTATGTACAACAGGGACATCGCGTTAAATTTGTTTCTGTTACGAACGGCGATGCTGGACATCACGAAATGGGTGGCGGTCCTCTGGCGCAGCGGCGATATGAAGAAGCGCAAGCCGCCGCCGAAGTCGTCGGTATTGAATATGAATTGTTGGACAATCACGATGGTGAACTTATGCCGACGTTAGAAAACCGATATAAGATTATTCGAACAATTCGTGAATTCCAGCCAGATTTAATAATGACCCACCGTCCGAACGATTATCATCCCGACCATCGGTATACGTCAACCTTGGTACAGGACGCGGCGTACATGGTTACTGTTCCGAACATCTGTGCCCTGACGCCACATTTGGAGAAGAACCCTGTTATTGCCTATTTGAGCGATGGTTTCATGAAACCCTATCCGTTCACGCCGGATATAGCCGTTAGCATTGATGCTGTCGTTGAACAGAAGATTGATATGCTCCACTGCCACGTATCGCAGTTCTACGAGTGGCTTCCTTACAATGGCGGGTCGTTAAATGCCGTGCCTGCTGGTGCATCGGAACGGCGTGCGTGGCTTGCTGAACGAATGTTAAATCGTTTACAAGATGTTGCCGAAAAGCATCGGGATTTACTCATAGCACTCTATGGCGAAGAAACGGGCGCACAGGTCAAATATGCTGAGGCATTTGAAGGATGCGAGTACGGTTCCGCACTAACCGCAGAAAATATCCCAATCCTCTTTCCATTTTTCAACGAAGGAGCCGCGTTTTAACTATATGCCAACGGAACAAGCCAATCCCAGAACGCTTTTTATGATTGTCAGCGTTATTGGTCTTATCTTTGCGATTGTTATGGTTATTCTTTTTTTCAACGCTGCACCCGCGCGTTCTAATATAGAGGAGCATCGTGCTTCAGAGGAAGCGGTTGAGTGTCTAAAGTGCCATTTAAGAGGCGATGAAAAATCCCCGACAATGCCACATCTCAATCTCGGTCGGTGTAACCTCTGCCACGGGTTATCGAAAGAAGATTCACAGTAGGGGCGAGGTCGACCTCGCAACTACTGAGCGGCTTTGATTCCTACCCAAGTCACCTTATCTTCTGCCTCGCTGACGACTTCAAGACATTGAAACTGATTTGCTTCTAAAACTGACTTAACTTGTGCAAACTCAGTCTCCAAAATTCCAGAGAAAATGATGATCCCTTCAGGATAGATCCGCTGTACGCAGAATGGAATCATGGGAAGAATTGTCTTCGTTAGGATGTTCCCAATGATGAGGTGGTATCTGTTTTCGATTCCCCTGAGCCCATCACCTTGAGACAAATGGACCTTTGGTGCCACACCGTTTGCCTGAAAATTGGCGGCTGCAATAGGGATTGCTGTCGGATCAATCTCAATCGCGTCAACGTGTTTCGCACCTAACTTGATAGCGGCAATTGTTAAGATACCGGAGCCTGTCCCGATGTCAGCAACCTGATGGTGCGGTTCGACGGTGCGTTCCAATAATTCGAGGGAGAGCCGCGTGGTCGGATGGTAACCTGTCCCGAATGCCATGCCCGGATTGAGTTGAATCAATATTTCCGTTTCGTTGTGGGGAACATCGATCCACGTTGGGGCTATGACAATCCTGCTACCAACACGCTGCGGTGGAAAGGCGGATTTCCATGCCTCTTCCCACTTCTCGGATTTGACATGTTTTAAATCAATCGTTGCAGGATGTGGTTGGATACCCCATGTTGGAAGTTCCGTCAGGAAGTCGCGGAGTTTCTGCATCCGTGCGCCAACTCTATCATCTAACGGATAGTGGGCGATGAGGTTTACTGTCGATGCCTCGTTATCCTTGAGTTCAACGCCGGTGGCGTTTAATTCAAAGAGAAGGTTCGCGACAGCTTCTGATGCCTCTTGAGCGGTAGTTACTGTGATTCTTGCCCAGTCCATTTAAAGACTAAATCCCCCAGGCCCTACGGACCGGTAGTTCTATTCGGGTTCCTCGTCTTCGTGTCTACCCAGCAGTTTATCCCAGAATCCGCCGTGTTCGTTCTGATGCGATTCTCCTCTCAGTTTCGCAAATTCTTCTAACGTTCTTCGCTGTTCCGCGTTGAGATGCACTGGTGTTTCAATCTCCAACCTCACGACCAGATCTCCTGAATAGGAACGTCTGTAATGTGGAACCCCTTTGTTAGGGATACGCAGTTGTGCACCGTACTGTGTACCCGGTGGGATATGCAATTCTTCCTTTCCATCAATACTATCAACTTCAATGTTCCCACCGAGGGTGGCTTGGACGAACGGAATTTTGGCGGATGTAATAAGGTCGTTTCGATCACGTTGGAAGCGTTCGTGCGGTTCGACATTGATAACGACAAACAAATCACCTGGAGGTGCGCCGTTTACACCCGCTTCGCCTTCACCTCGTAGCTGGTACTTGAAACCTGTATCAACGCCTTTGTCAATATTTAACGGAATATCGCGCGTGTTTCGAACAACACCTCTTCCGCCACAGGGTTGGCAGGGTTCTGTAATAATCGCGCCTTCGCCACGACATCTCGGACAGGTGCGGGACATTGTGAAAAAACCTTGTGATTGGCTGATTTGACCTCTGCCGTGACATTGAGGACACCTTACAGGACTCGTTCCCTTTTTGGCACCGTTGCCTTCACATGTGGGACACGATTCAACCCGTGGCACTTGGATTGTGACCTCTTTGCCGTGAATAACGTCTTCCAATGTTACGTCAAGGTTATATTGTAAACTGCGTCCGCGTTTAGGTGTACGCTGCGTACCACCGCTGAATCCTCCGAAGAGATCGCCAAAGACATCACCGAAGATGTCGTCAAGGTTCACACCAAAGTCTCCGAAGTCGCTACCGCTGCCATCCAGTCCTGTATGCCCGAATCTATCATAACGGTTCCGTTTCTCAGAATCTTGCAGGACTTCATAAGCCTCTGTGGCTTCCTTGAATTTGTCTTCGGCGACTTTATCGCCTGGGTTTTTATCCGGATGGAATTGTATGGCGAGTTTGCGATAAGCCTTCTTTATTTCGTCTTCATCGGCATCATGATTGACGTTCAGAATCTCATAATAATCACGTTTTTGTGTCATATACTACCTTTCCTGTGCTTTATTCAGTAGTGTCAGTAGCATCCGTATCTGTATCATCTGCGACTTCGTTTGATGCTTCTTTTTCAGCTGGTCCTTGTGAGACGACAACTTGCGAGGCGCGTAGGACACGGGTGTGCAACATATAGCCACGCCGAAATTCCTCAATCACTTTCCCTTCTGGCACATCATCCGATGCTGTGACAAGGAGTGCCTCGTGCTGATTTGGATCGAATGTTTCACCCACTGCTTCGATCGGCACAAGCCCGTGGATTTTGAGCGCATCTAATAACTGTTTGTGAACAAGTTGCACGCCTTCGTTGAAGGTCGTGAACGCTGGCGTAGTGTCGCTTGCCTCGACTTTTTCGGTTACGCTTTTAATGGCGGCTTCCAGACTGTCCAACACCGGGACCATCCCTTCAAGGATTCCTTCGTTGGCAAACTTGAGCTGCCGCTGATAGTCCGTTTGCAAGCGTTTTTTGGTATTCTCAGCTTCTGCTGCTGTGCGTAGGAGGCGATCACGCTCCGCTTTGTATTCCTCGTGTACCTCTTGCACGGCAGTCTCTACCTCTTTTTTGATTTCTGTGTGCAATAGGTCTTCGCGTTCTGCTTCGTACTGCTCACGGACTCTTTGTACGATCGCTTCTACTTCTTTCTTAACTTCCGATGTGAGGTTGGCAGCAGTCTCTTCGACGGATGCCATGCGCTCTTCTATCTCCTTTTTCACTTCCGATTTGACTGTATCAAGTGCCGCCTCCGCGATTTCTCGCATCCGCTCGACAAGTGTTTTTTCTTTATTGTCGGTGGAATCGTTATCAGCAGACGTTTCTGTTTCTGTTTCTGTTTCTATGTGTATCTCTTTAACTTCAGCCATGATGAAGTCCTTTTGTCTTTCTATAGATGTGCTTGGGACGCACGTTTATTTTAGCCGTGAACGGCGTTAGCGAATGCCCTCATCAGTTCGAGGGATCCGTTTTCTTCGAGAATGTTACCTGTGACGATGAAATCAGCACCTGCTTCTACCTTTTTAGCGGCAATTTCTGGTGTGCGGATGCCGCCACCGACGATGAGTGGGATGCTGATTTGATTTTTCACTGTTGTGATCATTTCCTCTGGGACAGAGTGCACAGCACCACTTCCTGCCTCCAGATATACCATCTGCATACCGAGATACTCTGCCGCCAATGCATGGGGTCCCGCAATGTCGGGTTTATCGCGTGGGATGGGTGTTGTGTCACTCATAAATTCAACAGCGGTTTTGTTCCCGCCTTCAATCAGCATGTAGCCAGTTGGAATGGGTTTAAGCGCGTAACGTTGTATCCACGGTGCCGCTTTGACCTGTTCGCCAATGAGATAGTTCGGGTTGCGTCCACTTATGAGACTGATATACAGAATCGCATCAGCGTGGGGAGTGAGGTGCATCGAATCGCCCGGGAATAGCACCAGTGGGAGTTCTGTTTCCTGCTTAAGTGCTTTCGCGATGGGGTGCAAATCGTTCGTTAAAAAACTGCCACCGAGCAAAATTGCGTCTGCACCCGCTTTCTCAATTTCGCGCGCAAGTTTGACGCATTTTTCGATTTCACACTGCTCCGGATCAATTAAAACGAAATAACCAGCATGGTGCTTTTTCAATACCTCGTGAAAGTAGTTAAGAACCCAATTTGATCTCAAATGCGATTTTCCTTCTTTGCCTATGCTAAATCTCAGTCTAAATGCTATGCCCTTTCTGATATTGAGGACTTATGGATCATCAGTTATTTTAAGAATTCTATCATATTTATTTCGATTTGTCAAATTCTGTGTTGTCGCGTGAGTTCATAAAGTAAAACACCTGCGGCGACTCCTACGTTGAGTGATGATTGCCCTGATGCCATAGGGATGCGAACTAATTCCGGGCAGCATTCACGTGCATCAGCGGAGAGACCGGTATTCTCGTTACCTACGACGATAGCCGTGGGGAGTGTGAATTCCATCTCATGCAGTTGGTTTTTGGCACTTGCTGTGGCACCCAGCACTTGCCAATCTGAGGCACGGAGTGCCGCAATTGCACCACCGATGCCTGGTGTGTAGAATAAGGGTAAACGACCAACTGCCCCCCGGGAAGCACGGATACAGTTTTTATGAAAAGGACTTGCGCCTTCACCACTTAATAGGACAGCGGATACTCCTGCCGCGTCTGCTGTCCGTAGCGTCATTCCGAGGTTGTCGGGATTACCAATGTTCTCTGCGATGAGCAATATACATCTTGGGCTAAAGTGAAAATTGAGACTTCCGGATTCCGAAAGGAAGTTGGGGTAACTGAGATGAACCGAAGCGATTATAGATGGCACCGGTCGCGTCGTCGTAATTGAACCCATCACGCCATCATTCACCTGATAAAAAGATAGGTTTTCTGCTGCTGCCCGCTTGAGCAGAGATTTCCCTTCGGGTGTTGCCACAAATCCGGTGGTGTAGAGAAGTGTTTCGATCGGAAGTCCGTCTTCCACTGCTCGTTCTACTATCAGATGTCCTTCAATGATAAATTCGGAGTGTTCAAGTTTCCCCTTCAGAGAGGCTAATTTGCGAATATGTGATACTATTATATCCTTCCGTTTAGAGACAGTTCGTTGTTCCGCTCGTGTGCTGCTGCCGCGTTTGATGCCCCGATAGAAAGAACCGACATCGGTCTGAATTACGTCCCCTTCTAAAACATCGTGGATTCTGTTTTCTATCCACTTTTCGCTGAGATGAAACAGACCTGTGTATCGTCTCGGAAAAGCGATGAGTAGTTCTCTCAAGCTCCGTTCGGTTGTCGTTGCGAGATGAACTCGGTAGTCGCTGTCAAATGTGTCCTCCGGTTCTAACAACATGACCCCCTCAAGCCGCTGCCAACCTGTAACAAATACCTCGTATGCAGGGTGCCATGTGCCTGTTTTGCAGAAGGTATAATACGCCTGCTTAAAACGGGAAACAGCATCTGCATCGGAGTTCTCTTTCTCCAAAAAGGCGATAATTTCATCGTAATTTATCATTGGCAATTAGCGGTCAGTCGTCAGCATTGTCCCGCAAGCCCACACGCGGCTTGCGTCGCAGTCAGTAAAGAGGTTTCGTCTCACACTGGATGTCTCTTAAGATAATCTCAAAGCCCGTAGTCCGTAACGGAGTGGAGGACGGATTTGAGAAACACACGGGATAGTCCAAACGCCCGTTGTTCCTCCGCAAGGTAAAATTAAAAACCTAACAGGTTATGCTACAATAGCCTCAAACCCCGTAGCTCGTAATGGAATGGAGAGCGGATATACGGAACGCACGCAAAAGTTGAAACGCACGTTGTTCCTCCGCAAGGTAAAATTAAAAATCCGCAAGGTAAAATTAAAAACCGAGATAGATTGCGCCGAGTCCGACGAATATATCCCACTTCATCCAACGTTGAATGGATGCACAACTTTCTCTGGAGGCATCTTGACACAGGCGAATTGCCAAACCTATTAGCACAAGGTCAACACCGATGAGCACGGCAATCAAGTAGTGCCATGAATACCAACCGAATAAATATGGGATGGGGCTAAACAGAATAACAGATGCCATGAAACCGATGGCTGTCCGGACTGCAATCCGTGGGTTGAGAGTCGCAAGCGTTTTTGCGTTATTTTTCAGGTCGCCTTCCGTGTCCTCAAGGTCTTTGACGATTTCCCGCGCGGTTGTGAACAAAAAGGCAAAGATTGCTGGAATGAGTGTGCCTTGCACCGAATCTATTGCTACACCCCCAGCAATGAAGGTTAAACCCGTTAATCCACTGACGACTAAATTGCCGACAAAAGGGGTGCGTTTCAACCAGAAAGCATAACTGACAAGCGCAATAGACACGAGGATGGCGAAGCCTATTGCATTTCTGTTAATAAGTGTTCCCAACCAGATGCCGATTACAGTAAGGATTATCGCAAAAATTAGTGCATCCGTACGCCGAATGCGTCCAGAAGGTAGCGGTCGTCGCGGGCGATTGATGCGGTCAATATTGTAATCACAGTAATCGTTTATGGCGTTTCCGGCAGAAAGCAAGACAAGTGCGGCGACAGAAACCAACAGAAGTCGGATATTGACGAGGTTTTCCATGTTCCCTTGGCTGGCAAACATCCCACCGAGCCAGGCAGAGATGAAGGCGATAATCCCGTTAAGTGGACGCGCCAACTCAAGATACGCGATCAATGTCTTCATTTTTTCTGATCGTGACCGTTGACTGATGATCTGTTAGGAATAACGGATACCGAAGCGCGTTCCATACTACCAGTGGACAGATTACAATAGTGCTTGAACCAGAGGAGGTACAGTGGAAAAAATGCCTACGCGGAAACCGGGTGCGTTCGCGGGTTGGACCCAACGCTAAAGCATTGGGGTTGTGAGTTAATCTTCATCCTCTGGCTCTTGAATTTTCGCTTCCAGTTCCGCAACCCGTTTTTGGAGTTTTGCGAATTCAGGGAGCAGTTCTGGCAATCTCCGAGTCGCCGCGTGAATTCGTAATTCCTGTTTATGAGGGCGTGCGGGGAATCCAGACAGATGACTACCGGCGGGCATATCCTTGGTAACTGCGGATTTGGCGTAAACAACGCTGTCTTCGCCGAGTGTCAGATGTCCTGCTGCGCCTCCATGGCCCGCAATATTGACTCGGTCACCGAGCGTCGTGCTGCCAGCGATACCGACTTGCGCGGCGAGGCAACAATCTTCTCCAATGACAACGTTGTGTGCGATTTGGACGAGATTATCCAATTTGGTGCCGCGTTTAATCAGCGTTTCAGCAAGTGTCGCTCTATCAATAGTCGTATTCGCTCCAATTTCAACATCGTCTTCAATGACCACGGTTCCGATTTGGGGGATTTTGTGGTGTCGGTTGCTAACGGGTGCGAATCCGAAGCCGTCGCTGCCAATAACTGCGCCGCAGTGGATGATCACCCGGTTGCCGATGGTTACCTCTTCTCGAATACTGACATGTGGATAGATAAGACCATCAGCGCCGATCTTGGTTCCTTCGCCGATGTAGACAAAGGGCTGAATAACGGTATCATCTCCAATTTCAACGTTGTCAGCGATATAGGCAAACGCTTGGATTGCGACGCGCTCACCGAGTTTGACGTTCTTTCCTAAAATTGCGGTCTCATGAACTCCGGGAAGTGCGCGATGGTTTTTGTCCCACGCGAACATTTCTAAAACTTTGACGAAAGCCCAATACGGATTCTCAACACAGATAGTAGGCTTACCGTTACCGTTGACACCGCGGCCAATAATAATCGCGCCTGCTTGTGTTGTCGCTATGGCGGCGAGGTACTTGGGGTTAGCAACAAAGGTAATCTGATTTGGGAGTGCCTCTTTGATTCCAGAAACTCCTGTAATTTCAATATTACCGTCCCCAGAAAGATCGCCATCCAAGCGTTCACAAATTTCCTTGAGTTTCATACGCATTTAGCCGTATTCCTTTCTCCGTAGATGTGAATGGTTATTCGGGGTTACAAACCCCTCCCACAACTGGAGTTTAGGCAGTGTAGCGTTATTCGGAGCTTTCGTTCATCAAGCCGATTAACTGTTGTGTCAAATCATATTCCTTTTTCACATAAAGTGTGATGAGTCGTTTTTCGAGGATGATGTCAAAATCTTCGGACTCACCGACTTTGATAATCACTTCTTGAAGGTTGTTGTAAATCGGTTCCATCAACTCTTGCTCTTTTTCAAGCAGTGCCTGCTGTCCTATTTCGGCCTCACGCTGGTATTCCTGCTGTTTGAGGCGGATTTCGTTATCCAAATCCGCGGTCTGCGCCTTTTCCACGAAGAGTTCGGTTTTTGCCTTCTTTTCTTGTAGGGTTCTGATCTCATCCACCAACCGCTGTAACTTCGTTTTCAAGCGTTCGCTTGCCGCTTGGAGCAGTTCGGTTGCATCCGTCGCTTTTTGGGATCCTTCCAAAACCTGTTGCGTGTTCACGACACCGATTTTGAAAGATTCCTGCCCGATACTTCCCGAACTGAAACAGAAAACTGTGAGACCGATAATTAATAGAGTTAGACGTGCTTGGTAAGCACTCAACTGAAATGGTTTCATAATTTGAATCCTTAATAGAGGTTAACAGTTATCAGGGGTCAGTTAAGAGGTGGGTCTGCTAAATTAGAGCCCTCTTTAACTGATAACTGACAACTGAAGACTATAATTTAGAAGCCGGGTCCAACGGTGAAATGGAATTTGCCAGCGGGTTCGCCGCTAACGCGATCCAAGCCATACCCCCAACCTAACCGAACTAACATGCCGAGCATGGTAAACCGTGCCTCAAGACCGAGACCTCTTTTCATGTTGATTTCGCTGAAGACGTTTGTAGTCTTTTCATCCCACACCTGCCCTATGTCAAAAAATAGTGCTGCTGTGAGTTGCTGAGAAATTGGGACACGATACTCAAAGTTTGCAAAGAATACCTTATCACCGCCGTACGGATTGATAAAACCCGTTGCATCTGGATCGGGATAGATTTCCCAATCTTCGTAACCACGAATACTATCTACACCGCCGAGGAAAAAGCGTTCATAGAACAGGAAATAAGCATCGGTGCTGTCACTGCGCATGATACCTGCGCGGACATGCGCAGCAATGACGTGGTTCCACCATCCACTGTAGAACAAACTCGAGTCAGCATAATATTTCTGGAATTTATTGTCCGCTCCCAAAATACCGCCGGAGTATTCATAAGAGAGTGTATGGAATGAACCTGCTGTTGGGTCAAACAAGGAGGTGCGATAATCGCGGGTATCCCTTCCAAGGGAAAACAGAATACTTCGCGTGGAGCGATTGTATATTTCCCTATCCGGGTTGTGTGATTCCACATGTTCGTTCCGAAAGCGGACGGACAGATCAATATCATGGGCAATGGGTCTTCCGAGCGTTAGAGACGCACCTCGTCTCGCCCAAACGTATCGGTCGTATAAGTAGTTACCTCCTATCTGACGATTAAGGAGGGCACCGACCGTTCCATAATAGCGGCGGAAGCGGCGGTTGTCGTAGATCCGGGCATTAAGCCGGGTTGGTGTTCCCAAAACCCAAGGGGTTCCAAAACTGAGTTCGGCGGTATGGTGATCCCTTGTGCCTAACTCGCCTTTTAAGTGGACCCGATACGCTTGTCCACGAAAGTTGTTTTGTCCCACCTCTGCGACACCGAAGATACCGCCTTCACTGCCGTACCCACCTCCGAGACTCAGCATTCCTGTTCGCGGTGTTTCCGCAATATTAACTCTTAACTCCTTTCGGTTCTCTTCGGGGGTATCACTTGGGACAAAATCAACAGCACGAATAAAAGAACCCATCTGGAACAAACGTTGCCGCGCTTTGCGCAGTGCTTTGACATCTAATAACTCGTCCGACTCGATGCCCAAAAAATCCAACTCACGTTTAACGACGTGTTCTTTCGTTTTTTCTAACCCGGTAATGATTACCTTGTCGATAATTATGACATCTCCTTCGTTGATTCCCAAGGTGATGTCAACCACGCCATCCACTTCATTGAAAGTGGGGGTCGGTAGGACTTCTGAAAGTAGGTAACCTTTATCGAGATAAGCCTGCTGTAACTTTGCGATTGATTCGTCGAAGGTGGCACGGTTAAAAACCTCACCTTCCGCAGGGTCGAGCATCCCGCGTATCTTCTTTTCAGAGAAGAGGTTCTTAGCACCGGCTTCCACTTCAAGTGTGTAGGTTCCGATAATAAATTCGGGACCTTCATCAACAGTAATGTCAAGTATTAAGCCGGTCTTGTCTTCTGTGAACCGTTTTTCGTAGCCGATGACTTTCACCTGGGAAAAGCCTTGATCCTGATAATAATTTCGGATGTTTAGAGATAAGTCTTCTTCCTCAAACAACATCTGATCGAAGGGTTTACCGGTGCGGGTTTTGAGTTTTTTCTGTATGGTATTCCCGGAGATTTGTGTATTTCCAATAAAGTTGATTTCCTCAATTCGCACTCTCGGCCCTTCGTTTATCTCAAACGTGACTTGGATGGTATTCGCCTCTTCGTCTTTATCTCCGATATGGGTTTGGATACCGACAAGATAGTATCCCTTTTCGTGATAAAGTTTCTGTAGGGCTCGCTCACTTTCCCACCGTCGTCGGTCGCTATAAATTTCTGAAGGGCGGAGTGTAATCTCATCCTTAAGTTTGCCGGTATTTAAATTTTCGTTTCCAATAATGTTAATTCCGGAGATTTTAGGATTTTCGACGACCTTGTAAATGACTTCTAATCCACCGGTTTCAACGGGTTCTACATCTACTGTGAGTTCGGAGAAGAAGCCTGTGTCTTTGAAGAGGCTTTTCACATCTTGTGTAAGAAGTTCTTCAGAGACTTCCTGCCCAACCTGTGTCTGAATAAGGGTGCGCAGCATATCTTCGGAGGAAGTTTTCACGCCTTCAAAAGAGATTTTCTTGACGAGAAGCATCGCATCGCCAGCGGGTTTGGTGGTGTCTGCTGTGGTATCTTTATCAGTCTCAGCTTCCATCTGCTGTTCGATAGTAGCTACCTGCGGACCAAGTGTGGGTTTTTCTGTTTCTTCTGCGAAAACCGTGATCGCCGCAAATCCAATGAATAGACTTATCAGAATCAGAACGTTTTTTGGCGCACTCATAATTAGATGTCCTCCTGTATGTTAACACCCGTCAGTCATTAGTCATCAGTCGTCAGTTAAAAGATGGTTTAGTTGGACGAGACTCTTTTTGTCTTTATTTAACTGAAAACCGACGACTGAAAACTGAAAACTATAAAGCGGTATAGATTGGGGTGCCGCAGTTATGTGCAAACTGCCGAAATGCAGCAATGAGTTTTTCTGTCACTTTTCCGGGTTGCCCGTCCCCGATGGCGCGTCGGTCTATTTTTACAACAGGTATAACCTCGGCGGCTGTACCGGTTAGAAAACATTCATCAGCAATGTAAAGATCATGCCTTGTAAAAACGCGCTCTTCAACTTGCATGCCAGCATCGCGTGCGAGGTCGATAACGCTGTTCCGTGTCACACCTTCCAGAATACCTATGTGAACCGGTGGCGTGACGAGGACCCCATTCTTTACCCAGAAGATATTATCACCGCTACATTCAACAACATAACCTTCTGCGTTAAGCATCAAGACCTCTTCTGCACCCGACTGTTTCCCTTCAATTTTGGCTAAGATATTGTTTAGATAGTTCAACGACTTAATGCGTGGATTGATGGCTTCTGAATAATTCCTTCGAACAGAGGCGGTTACGATTTCCAATCCATCTTCATAGAATTTTTGTGGATAGAGGGTGATTTTATCTGCAATAATAATGATGCTCGGTTTTGGGCATTTATCCGGATCCAGTCCGAGATCTCCTACGCCGCGAGTTACATACCAATCGAATATAGGCTTCTCTGAGATGGTTTCGACGGAGTGTTTCCAGAACCGTTTCCTTCATTGTTTCAATAGGAATAGGGATCTGTAACATGATTGATTTCGCAGAATCATAAAGCCGCTCGAGGTGTTCATCGAGTTTAAAAACTCTACTGTTATAGGAACGGATGCCTTCAAAAACACCGTCACCGTAGAGCAAACCGTGATCGAACACCGAAACCTTTGCTTCTGCTTTTGGTAAAAATTCTCCGTCAATATGAATCAACATTTTTTAATTATGGCCTCCTGAGCTGCCCTCCAAATGTAAAGCAAAGACAAATTATGCCATTTAAGGCATAATTTCATTTCGGGCAGGTTTCTGGTGATCTTGGGCTGATATTCTAAAGTCGTGCAGTTAATAAGAAAAAGAAAACCGTTCAGATACTTAATGCGGTTGGGATTCACCGAAAACCGGGGTCCCCACCCGTTACTGGGAAGGGGCGCGAAATGTAATGGAGCGGTGCCCAGGAAGCCCATAGTTAAACAACCTTTCCATCAACGAGTTGGATAACTCGATCTACTTGTTGGGCGAGTTCTTGATTGTGAGTTACGATAACAAAGGTCTGACCAGATTTGGCGTTCAAATCCCATAGCAGTTCTAAGACGGCATCGCTACTCCGCCGGTCGAGGTTACCCGTTGGTTCGTCAGCGAGTACAACCTTCGGTTGATTAATCAGTGAGCGTGCGATTGCGACGCGTTGCCGTTCACCACCAGACAATTGGTTTGGATAGTGTGAAAGCCTTTCGGATAGCCCAACATAATCGAGCAATGACTCTGCCTCTTTATAAACCATTTTATCATTTGGTGATGTAATTAAGGCACCCATTGCGACATTTTCCAGTGCTGTAAATTCCGGTAATAAGTGATGAAATTGGAACACAAAGCCAATTTCTTTGTTCCGAAATCGAGAAAGTTCTGTATCGGATAGCGTGAATACGTCTTGTTCGTCGTATAAAACGTTTCCTGCTGTGGGTCTGTCAAGTGTCCCAATAATATGAAGCAATGTGCTTTTCCCTACGCCTGATGCTCCGACGACTGCGAGGAATTCTGACGTGTATACTTCAAGGTTGATGCCTTGAAGAACAGGAAGTTCTGACTCGCCATCATAGTAGGACTTGTGTAAATCTACGATGCGGATAAGTGTCTCTACAGGGTTTGCCACTTTTTTAATTATTAATTCCCATAGTTATAGTAAAGTCCAAAAATATGTGGACAGTTCGTCAGTGAACAACGACCCCACCGCCGCTGGCGAGGATTGTATCCTCGCCTCTTTAGAGCGTCCAAGTAATTATAGGCTTTACTATAAAAGTTGCTATTCATGTTGTAAGGCTTCAACCGGCTTCAGGTTTGCCGCTTGCCATGCCGGATATAGTGTCGCAAGCCAACAGATTAAAAATGAAAGTGTATTGATGAAAATAACAAAGAACCAATTCACCTGTATCGGCAGTTGATTCATCTGATAGACTTGACTCAGCCCGAGATCCACCAGCGAAATTGGTTTAACAGCACAGTAGAGCGCGAACCCTATCCCCATGAGCCATAAAACACCGGTTGTGAATATCCATCCCGTACGGCGTGGTGTAATTCGCCTCAGGGCAATTAGCACTTGTAGGAAAATTGGCACAATGAGGACAACGGCGTACCAGTAAGCGGGACGCGCTGAATTGAAACTCAGGAGCCAACAGAGCACAAGTCCCAAAACCGTGCCTAAGACTGTTCCAAGCATCCCGATAATGCTCCCTTGAATCATGAAAATTCTCATAATGTTTCCGCGTGAAGTACCGAGTGTCCGTAGGGTCCCGACATCTTTTGTCTTTTCCATCACGGTCATGATCAGTGTGCTTGCAATATTGAAGGATGCGACCAGGATGATAAGTGCTTCAATAATGACAGTTGCTATCTTTTCCAATCGAAGTGCTGAGAAGAGTGGTGCCTGCATCTCCATCCACGTTCTGGCATCCGGCATTCCTTCTAAGACGGAGAACTGAACTTTATCCTCAATCCGTCTGGCGATCCGAGGTGCTAATTCCGCATCGGTTAGTCGAACGAAAATCGTATTGACTTGATTCTTTTTATTATACATCTTTTGAGCGGCTTCTAAATGAATAAACCCGAAGTTGTTGTCATAAACCGCCAACTCGGACTCATAGAACCCGATCACAACGAAGCTCGCCAAGTCTGGTATGAGCATTGACTCGTTTACGGGGTGTTTCGCAAGATTCACGATAAGTCGCAGCATGTCACCTTTAATGACACCGAGGCGGGCTGCCAAACGTCCTCCGAGTACAATCCCACCTGTGATGGTTTCATCTCTGATGAGGCGAGCGTCTTCAATATACTGTGAGTCTTGTAACTCAGTTGAGCCGTCCACAAATTTTGAGAAACCGGTGACTTTGTCTTCCTGAACTGGATCGATGCCCTTGATGTAAATTACGTCCTGAATGGTATCGCTGCGCTCTCGAAGAACAGCACTCTGTGCCCAAACAACGGGTGATGTCGCTACGACTTCATCAATGGTCTCAATTTGTGAAATACGTTTTTGGTAATCATCAAAGAAACTGTTATCGTGTAACCGGAAGACAACATGTGCCTCATTTGCGAGGAACCTATCCTTCAACCCCTGTTCAACGCCATCTAATATAGCACTTACGAGTATCACTGTTGCTACACCAAGCGCGACACCGCCAATGGAAATAATACTGATAATTGAAATAAAGGATTGTTTGCGCCGTGAGCGTAGGTAGCGGGAGGCTACGAACCATTCAAATCTCATATATATCCTAAGACGAGATAGGAGCCAATGAATCATAGTCCGCTTTTAGCATCCCGTATCCCATTAAATCCTCAAAGTTATCCCATTTTTTTACATGCTGCCGGAAGCACCCTTCGTAGCGCATCCCGATTTTTTGCATCACCCGTCCAGAAGCGGTGTTTCGTTTGAAGTGCTTCGCATGAATTCGGTTCAACTTCAAGACTTCAAAACTATACGCCACAACAGCCTTTGCTGCTTCGGTGCAGTAACCGCGGTTCCAATAGGGTTTACCTATCCAATAACCGATCTCGCCATTCTCGTTCTCTTGATCGAGTCTAAGCCCTATCCCGCCAATTAAGTTTTTGTCGATTCTAAGCGTAATTGCGAAGTGTAGTGCTTCGTCTTTTTCAAACTTTTCGTAACAAGAACGAATCCATTTTTCAGCCATACCATCTTCATAGGGGTGCGGCATATTCGGTAACGTTGCGGCTATATCGCGATCACCAGCAAGGCGTTGCACATCAGTGGCATCTTCAAGTGTAAGCGAGCGAAGTAGCAGTCTTTCCGTAAGAAGGGGTGGCGCGGACCTCATTTTTCTATGAACTCACTCTTTAGTATTCTGTACTGGATCGTATCTTCAAAAAATATCTTTCTGGATCTTTCGGAATATATTCAACAGCGACATCTTCACGTGTAAACAAACGGAGTATCAACCTTTCTGTGTGGAGTATCGGTGCGATTTTCATCTCAACTTTCCGGACGCATCTGTGGAAACAGAATAACATCGCGGATGGAGTATTGGTTCGTTAGCAACATCGTAAGCCTATCGATACCGATACCGAGTCCACCTGTCGGCGGCATACCATATTCCAAAGCGCGTAAATAATCTTCGTCCACCATAAATGCCTCGTTATCACCAGCCTCTAAACTGCTTGCCTGCTCAAGAAACCGTTGGCGTTGGTCGATCGGATCGTTGAGTTCGCTAAAAGCGTTTCCAACCTCCATCCCACAGATAAAAAACTCAAAGCGTTCAACGAACTCTGGATTATCGGGCTTCTTTTTCGCAAACGGTGAGACCTCGATAGGATGATCCGTTATAAATGTTGGTTGAATCAGTTTCGGTTCCACAAATTTGTCGAAGAGTTCAGCGATGATCTTCCCTTTCGTTTCATCACCTACCAGTTCAACACCGGCGTTGATTGCTTTCTTGTATAAATCGTCCGCTGAGAGTGGAACGGGATCTATACCGCTGTGCTCTCGAACTGAATCCACCATACTCAGCCTGCGCCAAGGCGGTGTGAGGTCGAGTTCATGTTCTTGATAATGAATCTTCGTTGTCCCGTGAATGATTTTTGCTGTCTCAGCGATGAGGGTTTCGGTGAGCTCCATTATCTGGATATAGTCAGCGTAGGCTTGGTAGAGTTCAAGCATTGTGAATTCGGGGTTATGATCCCTGTCCATTCCCTCGTTTCGGAAATCACGCGAGAACTCATAAACACGATCGAATCCTCCTACGATTAGGCGCTTAAGGTAGAGTTCATTTGCGATACGCAGATAGAGTGCTTGCTCCAATGTGTTGTGATACGTTGTGAAGGGACGAGCGTTTGCACCACCGTAAATTGGTTGAAGGACCGGGGTTTCTACTTCAATAAAGTTTTGCGCGTTGAGCATGTCGCGAATCGCTTGAACAATTCGTGTCCTTTTAAGGAAAACGTCCTTCACCTCAGGGTTCATGATGAGGTCTGCGTAACGTTGTCTGTAACGTGTTTGTTTATCTTGTAAACCGTGCCATTTTTCTGGGAGCGGTCGAACAGATTTGGAGAGGAGGTGTATGGAGTCAACAAGGACGGTAAGTTCACCTGTACGTGTCCGGAAAAGTGTTCCCTCGGCACCGACGATATCGCCAGTATCAAAGCGTCGATAGATTTTATACGGCTCTGCACCTACATTGTCTCGTCGGACGTAAATCTGAATTCTACCTTCACCGTCTTGCAGATGGGCAAAACTGCTTTTTCCGTGGTCGCGTTTCGTCATGATCCGACCGGCGATTCGGATTTTTTGGGTTTCATCGGGCGTTTCTTGAATGTCAGCAAAGTCTCTATGGATGGCGGAGCTTGTGTGTGTAGGTTCATATTTATGCGGGTATGGTTCTACGCCAAATTTGCGAATTTCTTCCAACTTCTCGCGACGTTGCTGAATTAGGTCCTTTGTTTCTTCCACAGTGCTTCCCCTTTTTTATTTATTTTGTATGATAGACCGTTGCTATACTTCAGTAATATCCTAATAATTATACCTTAGTTTTGCCCATAAAGCAACCCAAAAAGCAGTATTATTTCCGCTGAGCCTTCATTTTGAGGTAGCTTTCGATGAAGGGGTCTAAAGCACCGTCCAACACGGCGTTAACATTACCCTGTTTCGACATTCGTGCGCAAATCCTTGACGCGTTGGTAGGGGTGCAGTACATACGACCGGATTTGGCTCCCAAAGTCTATGTCTAAGCGTTCGCTTCGCTGTTTTGAGAGTTCTGCTTCCCGTTCCGCACGGTATTTCTCATGAAGACGGGAACGGAGTAATTTCATAGCGATTTCTCGGTTCTTATGCTGCGAACGTTCATTCTGACATTGGACGATAAGTCCGGTGGGTTTGTGTGTAATCCGAACTGCTGAGTCCGTGACGTTGACGTGCTGCCCACCCGCGCCGCTTGCGCGATAGAAATCTATCCGTAAGTCGTCGGGTTGGATATCCACTTCCACGGTGTCGTCGATTTCAGGGGTCACGCCAAGAGCGGCGAAGGAGGTATGCCGCCGCTTGTTGAAATCGTAGGGAGATAACCGAACGAGCCTGTGCACACCCGCTTCGGCTTGCAGATAACCGTAAGCCGAAGCGCCTGTAACAAGGATTGTCGTTCCTTTGATGCCGGCTTCGTCTCCTGAGGTGAGGTCTACGATTTCGGTCTGATAGCCGCGCTGGTCGCACCAACGGAGGTACATACGCATCAACATCCCCGCCCAATCCTGCGCGTCAATCCCGCCAGCACCGGCGTGAATGTTGAGGATTGCGTTGTTCTCGTCAAACTCACCCGTTAGCATTAAACGGAGTTCCATCTGTTCGAGACGGTGCGTGACATCACCCAATCCGTCGGCAATCTCGTTTTGTAAACTCCCATCGTTCTCTTCGGTCGCGAGTTCGAGCAGGGTTTGGATATCTTCAATTTTCAGGGCGAGATCTTCGTACGTCCCGACTTCATCTCGGATGATGGCGATGCGTTGGTTAACCTTTTGGACGCGTTGTGTATTGCTCCAAAAATCAGGGGCAATCGTCGCCTCTTCAAGTTCTGTTAATTCTTTTCGTTTTTCAGCCAGGTCAAAGATAACCTCTCAGTTCTTGAAGACGGGTCTGCATCTCTTCAGCCTGGTTCTTTAAATCTACAAGCATATTATACCTCACCAATTACTTAAGAATGTTTATGACGAACCCGCATTATGGTTTGACTGCCGAGCCATCCAACGCAAATAAGCGCGCAAAGAATCGGAAACCAATCGCCGTAGCGGGTATAGAGTGTCTGTTCATGTTCCGTGGACGAAAGAAGTGGGACGGATGCGATGAGAATCTCCTGAGCGGTGTCAGGTGTAATCAAGGGAGTCGTTATCCTACCAAACTTGTCTACCACGCACGTAAATCCACCGTTTGCGCATCGGAACACGGCAATTCGGTTCTCAATCGCGCGGAAAGGTGCCATTGATAGATGCAGTTCAGGGAAAGCAGTGCCTTTGAACCAAGCATCGTTAGTGAAGATCCCCACCACTCTGGCACCCATTTTTACGGGTCTGCGAAATTCATCTGGAAACACCGATTCAAAGCAAATCGAAGCACCGATCTCTATCTTCCGGGTGTTCGTCTTATTTTTAACGTCAAACACCGGTAAAAGGTTTACTGTTTTTCCATGAGCGAAGGGTTCAAACTGGATAAAATTGGGGATAAAATCCGGCAGGAGGTGTGCCAGAGGCACGTATTCACCAAACGGAACAAGGTGCATCTTCGCATAGTCTCCATGTATCTTTCCATCTGGAGCTATCGAAAGGACGCGGTTGTATATGTCCGTATTTCTTCGTTCAGCACTTTTGGAAAATTGACCTATCGCTTTGTCTGTTTCTCCCCTGTTCGCTGTACCGAGGAGTATTGGAATCCCTATATCACGGAGCATTTGCGAGAATCTTCCGTAATATATGGGCCACTCGCCTGTCAATGCTCTGCTTCGTGTTGCAGTTTCGGGCCACACAATTAACTCGGGCTGTTCTCCGCTGGCTTTATGCGTCAACCCGATATAGCGTTGCAAAATCTTTGGAAATTGACGGGGATCCCACTTCTGAAGTTGCGATATATTACCGGGGACAAGCGCAACTTTTAAGGTCTCGACGTTTGTTTGAGTCGTTGCGTTTGCGCTCTGGTCTAAGGGGTCAGCCTCCTGGAGTTGGAAGATCCCGTAACCGAAACAAAGAAGCGTCAGAATCAGTGGCAGGACTACGCCCCAAATTTCCTGTCGCCACCGATGGCGGTTACAAAGCAAGGTAGCGATGCCGGCATTGAAAAGCACAATGACGAAACTGATACCGTGTACACCGACAAGCGAGGCTATCTGTATTCCCAACAGATTATTCCATTGCGAATAGCCAATACTTCCCCATGGAAACCCTGTTAGCATCCAACTCCGAACCCACTCCAATGCTGTCCAAATACAGGCAGCGGACAGAGAAAACATGACGCTGGAATGCCTCGGCACAAACCTCATCAGCACTGCGAAAACAGCGAAATAGAGTGCCGTGTATCCCACTAATAGTAGGTATCCCACCATTGTAGCAAAGATGTTCGCATACGGATAGAGGAAGAGGATGGCGGGAAGCAGACCTGCGAAAAACAGAAAACCCGTTAGGTAGCCGATCCAAAATGCCTTTTTCCAATCTGTCGCTCGCGTCAAGGCAATGAAGAACGGCACCATCGCGATCCCAAGCAAACGGAAAGAGGTTTGAATTTGGGAAGCTGAGGAACAGCAACAGTGCTGAGAGTACCGCAAGTATTTTAATTTTACCTTGCGGAGAAACGACGTGGATTTGGGTCATTGATGTGCTTTCCTTAAATCCGCTCTCCACTTCGTTACGAGCTACGGTTTTTGGTTTCATCTTTAACTCCTGTAACCTGAAGACGGTAGCCTGCAACAACGGCGCAGGCGGATATAAGAAAAACCTTCAATGAACAAATGACTTCATTTAACGCCTTGCGAACAATTAGAAAATGAACAAATGACTCCATCTAACGCCTTGCGAACAATTAAAAATACTAAAAAAGGTCTGTTTTCAGCAAGTGTGAAATTTTGATGAACACAATTCGCTCGGTGTCTCCTTCTATATCACGATTGTCGTTGTAGACGATAAAGAAAGTACTTTCGGGGAGGTACTCATAAGCAAAGAGAGCGAAGACCCGGCGTTCTCTTTCTAAGGTGAATTCTGCGCTTGTTCTCGCATACATCCGCTGCGCAAACTGATAGTTCACGACAAAACGTCGCGTCCATTCCGAAAGTTGCCACTGTGTTTCGTCTGGTTGCTTTTCGTGAAGTCGCTGTAGGATAAACTCAAAACTGAGTTTAGCAGTCGGACGGATCGTAATTTCCGGACGGATAAAGAAGGTATCTTTATTATCACGTATACCGAAACTTCCGGTGTTTCGGATCTGCACATATTTGGGTGGGAACCATCCCATAAAGAACCGCGCTGTTCTATCGGTAAAGGGTTTGTTGTCTTCATTGACGTGATAATACCATTCGGGCCCGACGAGAAAAAGAAGTCTTTAACGCCGAGGAGTCCACTAAAACGTGCCCTGTGGTTTGTCAGTTCGCCTGCGTGATTCGCGAGCCGTTCGTATTCGGCTTCACCGCGGAGTCTTTCAACCGTACCTTTGTACTGTTTATTATAGCGACTCCTGATAACCACTCCTCGTCTATCCACGCGTGGGACGAAACCGGTTTCAGGGTAAAAATGCTCCCCAATATCTGCGTAGATCGCATCGAGTGAAAATACATTTGTCCGACGGGCGAGTTGGACAAAGACAAGATCGTCCTCAGTAGCCTCTGCCATATCCAGACCCCCTGCTTTCCATTCTCTCGCATACTCGAGATTAAGACTCGTAGCGGCGGGGAGTTGAATGCGGGCATCAAGCCCGCCTGCTCGGTCATACGTGGCACCGCGTTGTTTGTTAACACCTAAGAACCCCACCGATGACGTTTTGCCGACCTCCCGTTGCAATCGAAGAACGGAGTAGTTATAGTTCGCGAGGGGTAGTTCCGTTGCTTCAATCTCTCTATCCGGGTTTTCCGGTCCCGCGACGGCTCCCACGAAGGCGAGATTGTACTTACTGTATTTCCCGATGACCTTTCCACCACCGAGCAGGTTTTCAACCCGTCGGCTATAGAATAGATCCATAGGCATCTGGAAAAGTTCGTTTCCTTCAAGGAAAAACGGGCGTTTCTCAGGAAAGCGGAGTGGAATGTCAGTGAGATTCACGAGGTCGGGGTCTGCCTCAATTTGGGCGAAATCCGGGTTTAAGGTCAGGTCAACTGTGAAGTCTTTTATAGGATATCGGAGGTCAAGTCCAGCATCTGCTTTCACGGCAGTTGTTGTTTCACCATCTCCCGGTTGCATCATTTGTGGCTTTAGCGTCGCATAAGGTTTGAACTTCACGGGTCGTTTGGTAACCAAGTCTGAGATTGGGAGGTCTGTCAGATGTCCGAATTCTGAGACAGCGTACTGGCGTTCCCCCAAATCTGCCCAGGTTTGTTCTTCCGCGGGTGATTCATCGTTTCGCCAAAAGTTGATGCCCCAAGTCGCTGTTTCCATTTCTTTTGAAAATCGGAGTTCGGCAAACGGAATGGCGAATTCTGCTGTCCAACTGTCTGTTCCTTTTGCGGCTTGACCTTGCCAGTTGCAATCCCATGAGATGGCAGTGCCAATCATAGACTGGCCCGTACGCCTATTGGTACCTTCATTAATCAAGCGTCGGTCGGTTTGTGTGCCGAGTGGGTTTAGAGCGAATGCATAACAATTTCTGCCATCAAGGAAGGTATCGATTAAAACTTCGACATGATCATCGGAAAAGAAGAAAGAGTCGCGCCGTGTGAGGTTCGCTGCGAGCTTGTCCATATCGGTCTTAAAGCATTCAAATGCAATATAGAGATTATTGGCATCGTAGGCGAGGTAGATAGTGGTTGGCTGCGTTGAGGGTTCGCCCCGCTGCGGTTCAAATTGAATCAATTCACCGGTTTTGGCACTATTTTGCCAGCATGCGTCGTCCAATTTTCCATCAATTTTCGGAGGTGTTTCCGTGCGTACTGCTTTAATTAAGCGGTTCGTGAGAATTTCGGGGACCTCGTCATTCGTGTCTGCGGGTAATACCTTAAGGCTCCACGAATAGAGGATGAGGTAGACTGCTAAAATCAAATACGGGCTAAGTCGTGCCCTAATTATTCGCATTGGTTTATGTATTCAGAACTCCTTTTAGTATCAATCTATTTTACGATTTTAGCGTGTATCTATTTTTCTGTCAATATCAAAAAGGAGAGGCAATGTTTTTCGCTGCTGTGAATGTAAACGAAATTAAAGCGATTTGCGTTATTGCTTGCGTTGTTATATAATATGTAAGTAGCATTGTTTTTGAATCAACGAATGGAGGGATTAAGTGTACTCTTTTAGACGCAAAATTTACATACTGCTTTTATGTCTTGCCATCTTTTTTCCAGTGGTGGCTCTTGCAGGACCTGGTCGGACAGGCGCGCAAATCTTGAACCTCGGTGGTGGTGCGCGAGCAAGAGCTCTCGGGGACGCGTTCTCTGCGATGTCAGGTGATGTGACCACGTCGCTCTGGAACCCAAGCGGACTCGCAGATATGCCCGATAGTAAATTCCGGTCTGGCAGAAAAGCGGCACAAGCCTCAATGTTTTATACAGATTACAGCGCACCTTTCGGAGAAGCAGGGGAAGGGTTATACTATACCTTCATCTCTGGCGCGATGCCTCTCGGTGATGTCGGAACTATCGGCGCGACACTCCAGATGCAGGGACAGGGCACAATCGCCGTGACAACCGATTCTCCCGAGATCCTTCGTGAGGAAAGTCTCGGTACCAACTTCGCATTGACGTTCTCATATGCCGACCGTATCACAGAGTCTTTATCTGCAGGGATCAACGGTAAAATGATTCGGATGGTTCTCGGACGCGAGAATGGAAGTTCTTATGCCGTTGATATGGGGATGCAATATCTCGTTCCGTTCGATCCTATCCCCACGACGCTCGGTGTTGCAATTCAGAACGTTGGACCGGGTATATCTTTCA